TGCGGGGCTTCCATTTTTGAACTGTAGCAAGAGCCCAGTAAGGCTTTTACTGTAGTTCAAAGGCAGAGGCGCCCTTAGAGACTAATCAAATAGTTGATGGAAATCCCATCAACTATTCGATTAGTTAATTCATCTAAATTTAACATACCTACTTTCAGATATGGGCTAGGTTTTCTTGGTCCTGCCGCAGCGCAGGAAGTGGACTGATGACTTCTCAAGTTCCCTTCCAGCCTTTCTTTTCTCTGATTCTGGTCAGGGATCAAGTCCTGTTTTTATTGCACCAGGATGGGAGTACGCACTGGTGAGAGACCTAGGTTTGAGTTCCTGGCAGTTAATGCAGTAGATTGCAACATAATTTCCTGTTGTGCAGATGACCTGGGTTTATTTCTGGTGTGAGACACACAGCCCTGGGAGTTCAGGAGCCTCTGTCCTCTGAGTCACCTGTTCAGGCTCATCACAGTTATGCCTGAGCACCTAACAATATCATCTGCATTTTACTAAAGAGGAAACTGAGACATATTGAACTACTATACTTCTATCTCAAAGCTTCCTTCCACAAAGCACATTATAACTGCCAGATACTTGCAGTGCAGATTTCCTGTCCAAGGATTGTCATGTTATGTTACATGGCGGAAAAGTAAATGGTTTACTTAATTTTCATTCTCCACCAAGTGATGTTTGTGCTTTAAAGTTACTTGACTTAAATCAACAGTAACTTCAACTGGACAGCTGGCTCATTAGCATGGATTTCAGGGGAGAATTGTGACTAGTAACTCTGTGCCAATGTGCTCAGAATATCTGTAAGTCCAGTGAGAGAGGTATGAACTTTCCAGGAGTGGTCTGTCAGAACTATATTTATCTTTTGAGCACAAATTCAGTTACATGCCATTTTTTGCATACTGTGGCTTTACCAGAGAAACAATCAATGACTCTGCTCCCTTTCCCCCTGTCAGTGCTGCTTCTTTTAACACATCCACAGCCTGGAGCAGTAATGTGGGGCTTTCTTAGCACACCCCCTCACTCCCACCCTTCGCAGGAAGCAGGAGGCTTTTCCTTTGGTGACTCATATTGAAACAATCCTTCTGTCTCCTGCAGGGGGACTCAAGGTTGTTTGAGTTTTCGGCTGTGGGTGGCTGCAAGCTTCCTTTTCCTCTCTCCCCCTTTTGTATGTCAGATCTGATCTCCTCAACATCATCTCTGAGAGACTCAAAGCCTTTGCCTCGAGTGGTTATCCAAAAATACTGTGCAAAGGGTGAAATTGGGTAGACAGCACTGAAGTGGAGAAAGGAGTGAATGTGACGGTGAGGAAGAAATCCCTCAAGGATAGAATGGCAGCCCAGAGGTCAGCTCTCCCCCCAGGCAGGTAGCATCAGCTAATGTTCCAGACTGCCATAGAAATGAACCTTAGTGATGTCACGTGGTCTGTGAAAATCATTTAACCCTTTCCAAACCACTGTTGTTAGTGAAAGCTAGGGACCTAAGAATTTCCTGTCAGATTCAGCTTCTAGAACATCTCATTGTAAAGTGCTAGCATATACTGGAAATTAAGGGACCCTTGTGGAACCTGAACACATTTTTAGCAGATCTTATGTGGTCTCTATTCAAGCCCCTCACTTCCTATCCATTGTCCCGCCTTTCGTAAAAAAATGCATGCTTGATAGGCATTGCCTCTGCCAGGAGAGTGTGTGAATTGAGGACATTGACAGCCAGGGACAAGGTTACGATTTGGCTATACCCAGAGTTTGTATCTAAGGTGGTGTCTGTTTCACTTGAACCGGGTGGTGTATTTGCCTGTGTTTTTCCCTAATCTGTGTTCCTTCCCAGAAGAGTAGTGCCTCCATACACTAGATGTTTGACTCTCGTTAGCCTTCTATATGAACAAGATAGAACAGTTTTTTGCTTTGCTTTGCCATGTTTCTTGTCATATGGACTGCATAAGGGGACAAGTGGTCACTGTGCAGACCATCTCTAGATGGATAAACATCTTGCATCAAGACCACATACAGAATAATGTCACCTTCCCCTCATTAACAGATACAGGCGTATTTGACGGCAGCCCAAGCAATGTCACAACATTCCTCAATGACTTGCCCATATTGGACCTGTCCATGCATTCTTTTAAAGACCGTTATGCAATCATTGTGACACTAATGTCAGAAGAGCAGTGCTGCAATGTTTGCTCAAGTAGACTCCGAACCCTGTTTCGATTGGGGGTATTGCTTGCTAATTAATTACTTTGAATACACCGAACCTTAATCAGTGCACAAAATGGTGGGCTTTTCCCAATGAATGGGGAACTTCATTAAATATATCTCTTTATTTTTCTCCTTCAGGCTACGTCTACACTGGCCCCTTTTCCGGAAGGGGCATGTTAATTTCACCTATCGTAGTAGGGAAATCCGCGGGGGATTTAAATATCCCCCGCGGCATTTAAATAAAAATGTCCGCCGCTTTTTTCCGGCTTTTAAAAAAGCCGGAAAAGAGCGTCTACACTGGCCCCGATCCTCCGGAAAAAGCACCCTTTTCCGGAGGCTCTTATTCCTACTTTGAAGTAAAAGCCGGAAAAAAGCGGCGGACATTTTTATTTAAATGCCGCGGGGGATATTTAAATCCCCCGCGGATTTCCCTACTACGATAGGTGAAATTAACATGCCCCTTCCGGAAAAGGGGCCAGTGTAGACGAGCCCTCAGTGTGTAGCCCAGTGCCTTAAGTAATACATATTGAAACTTTTCACTGAATGCAAAATTAATTTCCTCATGCCCATGCCTATAGTGAATTCACTATCATATCCAAGTGTAAAAAACATTAATGAACTTATCTTCATGACACCTTTGAAAAGTGAAGTTGTATTATCATCCCCATTTTACAAATGGGAAACTGCAGCAAAGAAAGAGGCCTAAAATTGTCAGAAATATCCACTAATTTCTTGGGCACAAGTCGAGATACCTAAGGTCTGATTTTTAAGGATAACATCACTTCATATGTTCAAAGAATAGCTTCAATCACCTTCACTTGCTGTCATGAGTTCTCAACACTTCTGCAAATCTTGCCCCAGGTCTCTCAAATTGAGTACCTAGAAAATTCACTTGGCACCTTCCAGTTTTTGCAACAAATGAGATGGGTCCTCATTAACAAATGACAGGTGCCTCATTAACTACCATTCTGAACAAGGCAAGGGTCCTGTGGTAAAAACAGTAAGGTCACATCATGCTATCATAATGCACATGCACAAGGGGGCTGAGTTAAAGTTACAAGATGCAATCTTAGTTACATCATTTCCTAACTTGAGTGAGTGATTTTGCAGCAGTAACTTTTTGATGTTTTTTAATGTAGCATGTTTTATTTAGGAGAATTTTTGAATGTAATACTATATGTAGGGTAAAGACCCTGGAATAACTGTACTTGTTAAAATTACTAATATGGCAAAATGTTATATTCAAAAGTGAGTTTGGATATTGTAGTAATGTTTGTTTTATTACATTTTTGGTGTTTATATTTTGGTTGATTTGAACTGCCCTGTCCCTAAATGGATGAGATTGGGAGAGCACTTTTACTGTAGTGTGTGTTTGAGAGCACTGTGCAGGAGATGTTGCCTGTATCCATACAGTGGAGGACCCAGCCTTTTTATATTCTTAGGAGGGTCAGATCTTGATGTAATACACTTTTCAGAAAGCAAGTCTCATTGTAGAAGTGTAACAATATTATTTCTGGAGGGCTGGATGCCTTTGGGCATTGCTTAGGCACTGCAGTGCCTTTCATCTGGAAGTCATCAGTGAGTATGTGTAAAAAATGTAGTTTGGTGCATCCTATTTCCAACTCCCACGTCGCAGTTACTATTTGTACTAGATGAGCAAGATCTTCAGGGCAGAAACAATCTCTCCCTATGAGTTTGTACATTGCCCTGCTCTCGGGTAAGCCCTCAGGAGATAGCTCCAGCCTTAGGGGCAAAAATCCGGTTAATCATTTGAGTTAACAACACTGATTGTCTCACACTCACACCTTGAGGATGGGCGGGCGTGTAAAAAACATGATTTAATATATTTTTTTAAATGTTCTCACCAAACTCATTTCCTACAGCCACAAAGGGCAAACTAGGCTAGTGAGTGGGCCCCATGAATGGTCATCCTTCATCTCAGTGGGCTGCAAGATTGTCATAATCAAGGCGGTCTCTCATGACAGGGTAGTTTTGCTAATTGTGTTTGCATACCTAGAATTTGCTGGGTATACTGATTGAAACTTAGCAGCACTTTGATTGGATGCAGAGGGAGCAGTCAATGTGTTGTTTCATGTGCTCCTGCTTTGCATTCATGTCACTTTAGTAATACCAGTAGGAAAAAAACCAGGCGGACAGAAACCAGCAGAATCTGGCAACCCTATGCGTGGATAACACAAAACAAAATGTCTCATGGGCCACATACTAAACTCCGATGGGCCACATGCTGCCTGCCACTGTTCTACAGTTTTACTCAAGACTATTGAACATTTTTAAGGTTGCCAGTCCTGAAAATTCCTGAGAGTTTCGGGCAGTTCCTATCTGTCTTATGCAGGGGAGATGATTCCCAAAAATAGGAGTCCTATATGATTTTCTCTTCAGAGAAGCAGGGTTACAATTCATTTTCTCTTTGCTACAGCCCTTTCAGGAAGCAGAGGGAATGATGTGACTAAATTTGGGAGGTGTCACTAGTCCAAAGGGAAACAGTAGAATGGAGGAGGAGGGAGATTGTTGAAAAAGTGAATGGAGACAATACCATAAAACTGATTTAGAAGTACGCCGAGAGAAGAAAAAAATAAACGAATGGGCCTATAATTGAGAGAGAGTCTGAGAGCCCCAGAGAATTGGGACAGCTCTGGGATTGTCACTGGTATTTAGTGCTCTCACTTGTGAGCCAAAAATGGAAGGACTCCCACCTCCCTTCTTTTCACGTGTAAAGATAACAAAAATAGAAAGAGGGTAAGTGGCTGGCAAGAAGTAAATCTTTCTTCTCTTGTGTCTCTGCAGCAGTTCGGAAAAATTCTTGATGTAGAGATAATCTTTAATGAGCGTGGCTCCAAGGTAAGTCCTGTTTCTATATCCAGTTTCTCTTGTTTTGATTGCACAGAGAAAGAAGTAGTTTATTGCCTGGAATAATGTGCTCTACAGTGATCAGGAGGAACTGGTGTAATGGGGAGGGGAGGGAGAAGCTCCTTCTGGGACTTTTTCCTGCTCCCTGTAACTCCAGTATCTGAGCATAGTTAGTTCTGGGCAGCACATCCAAATGCTCCCAAGCATTCCAAGTTCCCCGACTCTGAAGAAGGAGGGATTCATTTGAGCCCTCTTAGCCACAGTTTTCACTGCATGAGCAATGTGGTGCTCTCTGGGGAAGGAAAGACAAGGTGACATTATGTTGTGTATTGAGATCCATAAAATGAGTTTTGTTATATAGAAAAGTGCTTATTGAAAATAAATGGAATATCTCACACGTGCAAGGCATTTTTCCCTCGCCTTCAAAAACTGAATAGGCTGTTGTGAGAAATACTGGCCTTTCTTGATTGAGATTTCTGATGCTTAAATTAAGCACCCTCAGTTTCTCTCGGTATGAACCCATCCCTATTGAATTTCTATTGGTGCAGCTATTTTCACCTTTAAGATGCATTAAAAGGGAGGGAAGGTCACTTCTTTGGAGACCAGGCTTCAAATTGCTGCTCAGGTCATATGTAGAGAATTTCAGTGATCTTTGTCCTAACTGGCAGTTGGGTCTCATCTCATAACCAAGATCATCACAATGACAAATTGATGTGATTCTCTCTCTGCCCAGGAGGTCCAGCACTGGAATAGCAGGGAGTGTTGCAGGTCAGGATCAAGGTGCATTGGCAGAGCTCTGTGGGGGAAGCTTGCACAGTGCATGTCTATACTATGCTTGACTTAATCAGTGCTACAATTCCCATTCTCAATTAAACATGAAAATTTCCCCTCTCACATGAGATTTTTAAGATGCAAGCCAGCTAAGCAGTTGATATTTTTAAATCCCTGCCTTTTCCCTTGGGTTTGAAGTTCACAGCACTATGCAGCCTCACTTCTCCCTCAGCGATATACTTACATACATGGTTCTCTACAAATTCTCGCCTGTGTTCCCTAAATTGCCTTTTAAAATTCCTTACTCTCTCCATGTATTCTTTGGAATCCAGGCAAGGGGTTGTTTTTTGTCTAAAAGAACCAAGATTCACACTCCACTTCTGACAGCGCACACACACCCTTTGCCTATTTTGTGTGTTTTATAATCCAATATGGGTAAATTGGTTTCTAGATAGTTTAGCTTGGAAGTTTTCTTTCTCTTTATAGATACAGTAAATCCTACTTGCTTTTACCAGGAACATTCAGCTATGACTGAATCTGTAAATATTTATTCTGCTTTTGCACAGTCTGATGTTTATAGGCCAAAGCTGTCTGTGAATTAGCCTTGATTTTAGGCATTTCTCTTGGGCATTGTGAACAGCCTCTAGTAAAATCCCTGCTTTTCTGAATGTAATCCCATTTAAAAAAAACAACTGACCTGTCAAAAATCAGTGGAACTATATACAGTAAAACTCCATTAGTCCGGCATCCAGTGCTCCGGGACTTCTGATGGTCCGGCACCATCAGGAACCCGGAAGTGCTGGGGCAGCCAGACAGGCTTCCCCCATTCAGCTGTTGCTGAAACTGACCAGCAGCGGCTGAATCAGGGACTCCTGGGGCAGAGCCTGACTA